AGGTGGCCGCCGGTAGGGGTGGCAACTGCCCCTACTACTAGGCCTGTCTCTTATACACATCTAGATGTGTATAAGAGACAGGAGCTGCATCACGGAGTGACGAAGGGGACAGAGAAGGAGGGACCGAGGAGAGAGATAGAAGGAGAAGCGTAGAAGGAGGGACATCGGAGGAGAAGACAGACATAGCCGAGGGTGAAAAAAAAAAAAAAAAAAAAAAAAAAAAAGAGAAAGGAAGAAAGGAAGAAGGTGAGGGAGGAGGAAGGAGAAGATAAGGGTGGCGAAGGTGAACGTGCCGGCAGCCATAGCCGAGGTGAGAGTTGACCGGAGGATTGACCGGGAGTTGACCGGAGGGTTGACCGGGCGCTGACCGGAAGGTTGACGGAGGTGTTGACCAAGGCCTTGCAGCGTTGACCCAGCGTTGACCGAAGAGTTGACCGGCGCCGTTGACCAAGACTTTGACCAAGCTGGAGTTGGTAATATCTCGTCAAGCCCTTAGCCTACCCCCTCACCCTGTGGATGTGCACTTCCCCTATGGTACTTGCTGAGTTTGAGTCTGTCTGTCTTTCCTTTCTGCATCGAGTCTCCTTTGTCCTAAGTGGTAGCACTCTGTGGATGAAGGATAGTGCTTGGATGACGAAACCTTAGTCTGACCTTGTAGGGCTGATGTTGTGGCTGATCCAACTTTCCAGGGGGGCCTAACCCTCCCAAGGACCGGTGCTGACCGGCTGGAAACGGTTGGTAGGACTCCGTGGGCCTTAACGACAGCTAAGGCTGACACACCAGGCAGTCTTTAAGTGTTGAGGGCCTGTTTGAACCACCCCCCTACCGGACCCAGTAAGGCTGATGATCTGTGTCTGACGACTCGACTGTCTTGGGGGATACGAACTCTCCCAAGGACAGGTACAGACCGGCGGGCTGCTCGGTGTGGCACAGTAGGCCGGAAAGGCTGAGTTGTGGGTTGAAAGCACAGGCAAGAACCACGCTGATCACGTCGTCCTGACTGCGACGTTAAAGAATTCTTGAGGAGTTACGGGGGATCTCCTTTAATGCCTCCTGATCAGCTGTTGGTTCAGTAGTGACAGCCTTAGAGTAGGTCTGGGATAGTGATCATAGTTGACAGGGTTCTACCCTGTGGTCCCTAGAGAGTCAGTTAGTGTGGCAGTGTCCGGGTAGGTCTAAGTGGTGAGGAGTGGGACTCCTTGTCGTGCACCTGACACTACCATGGATGACTATCCGATGTATGGGTTGCTTGTTGGGTTCTCCTTGTGGGGGACCCTCTGGCGTCTCCTCTTCCCCCTGGGATTCTGGCCCACGCTCACGTGTAGAGTAGGCACCCGGGGTGGCACCTCCACTACACCTTACACGAATGAGGAGGAGGAAAAGATGGCCGCCATCCTGCAGGAGAGAAAAGAGAAGAAGGAGGCCAAGAAGAAGGCCCTGCAGGAGGAGCAGGCAACAAAGTTGAAAAAGGTAGAGGAGGAGATGGCCAGAGAAAAAGAGAGTTTGAAGAAGGAAGAAGAGGAGAAGTTGAAGGAGGTGGAAGAGGAAGAAAAAGATGAACCGCCACTGCAAAGGAGGAGAGGGCAACACAGTGGCAGCAAGGATGAAGAGATGGAGAAACGGATTTCGGAGTGGGTCGCCAACTTATCCCTGGGCGAAGACGAAGAGGTAACCATGTATATCCCCAAGGATGAGCAGGAAGACGCTATGAAGAAATGGGAAGCAGAAGAAGATGTTCTGAAGCAGCAGGCGATGCAAGATGAAACGAGGATGGTGTGGAAACTCGCAATGATGAGGGAGAAGAAAAGAAGAGTGGAGGCGGCGAGTGAAGCGGTTAAGGATCTGGAGGAGGTGCAAAAACTAACTCTACGATTGACCCCTCAGGTAGACCTCCAACAAAAGGTAGAGATCATCGCCCAGAGCGTCGAGCGTTTAGCTAGATTGCAAGAACAACAATATGAGTTTAGCCGAAGCCAGGATATAGCGGTGCGTTCGATGCGGATGGGATTTCGGGACTTTGCCCGCGAGCTGGTAGGTGCTGTAGGAGCCGAGGTGAATCATTGCCTCGAGAAGACCGAGCTGGTAGTTCTTCGCGAAGAGCGAAGACCCTGCCACGACTTATGATTCTCTTAGCCGTGAAGCGGTGGCTTTCGAAGCGAAGTCGGTGTCGCTTTCTACCTTCTGGCACAAAGACCTTGACAAAGGAAAGCAATGGAAAGGTCGCACAATCTCTGGGCCAGTTAAGACTAAGGATAGTCTTGTCCTGACCTTAGACGAAGGTAGCGTGGACGAGATCCCCTATGAACAAATTGAATGGGGGTTAGAGGACGAGGATAGCGGTGCGAGTCAGGGGAGAACTTACGCTGCTGTCGCGGCTGGAGGGAGGCCGCAAGGAGGAGGGCGAGGCCAAGGCCAAGGGGGCCGGGCCTCAGGGAGCCGGTTTCAGGGCGAGGAAGGGGTCAAGGTCCCCCACAAAACCGTCCTAGGAATAGATCTCCCTATAGGGTAGGCGGATCGCACCCAGGGCTACCGCAGGGTAAGCCTTGGGAAAGTTTGGGTCTTGACCAGAGCTTATGGCAACAGCGTCTGGACCGGGATCAGTGCATTTTCTGCAGTGACCCGGGCCATATCATTAAATACTGTCCTAAGTATAGAGAGACCCGGACGGCTGCTCAAGGGCCAAAAGGTGGCCGCCGGTAGGGGTGGCAACTGCCCCTACCACAAGGCCATGTGGGGAACATAGCGCTAGCCGGCAGGAGACTCCCACACCACATGTGCTTATGGCAGAGGTTGCAGGCCGGTGTCTAGATAGCTGTCCAGAGACTGCTTGTGTCAGGGTCTCTTTAGACACCTCCCTCACAGGCGTGGCTGAAGAATTGAAGGAGAGGATGCCCGCCTGGGCCAAGATCAAGAAAGAACAGAAGGGGCAACTAATATTGGTAGATGTAGAGATTTTTAGAGGTAGAGTAGGGGCCCTAGTAGATTCAAGGGCTACCCGCAGCTATATCAGTAGAAAAGCGCTGCAGAAGTTGAAGCTGGGACTTAAGGTCCAAAAGCTAGCAGACCCTATAGTTAGTATCCTCGCAGACAACCGTACAATGATTGTAGAGGATTATGTAGAGGGAGTCCAAGCGTATTTTCGCCTAGAGAAAGATGGGAAAGTGGAGAAGGTCCTCCACTCCCTGACTCTCCTCATAGAAGACAGCCTCCCATTCGATATTGTCCTGGGAATGGATTGGGGAGAGGCAGTCGGGGCCACACTCCATTTGAAGGAGCACAAGTGTAAGCTCCCTAGTCCTTCAGGCGAGGCTAAGGCTGCCCGCCTGTTCCATGTGTCAGGAGTAGAGAATCCCCTGGCACATTGCTGCCTTAGTGCACCTGCATTCGCAAGATTCGTGAAGAAAGAGCACCTAGAAGAACAGGTCTTTGTAGCCTATGTTAGGCCAGTGACTGAGCCTAAGGAAGAGAAGCCTATAGACCCTGCTATTGCCCAACTGCTGGAGGAGTTTAAAGATCTAGCTGAGTCGCCGACAGGAGTAGTACCGCGGCCCATCCAGCATCGCATTGAGATAGAGCCTGGCAGTAGAACTCCTAAGGGTGCGGTGTACAGGATGTCCCCGCGGGAGTTAGAGGAGCTTCGCAAGCAATTAGACGAGCTCCTTGAGAAGGGTTGGATTAGACCCAGTTCATCTGCTTTTGGAGCACCTGTTCTCTTTGTCCCCAAGAAAGAGGGAGAGCTGCGGATGTGTATAGACTATAGGGGTCTGAATGCTGTTACAGTAAAGAACGTTGAGCCACTGCCTAGGATAGACAATCTTCTGGATCGAGTGCAGGGGGCAAAGTATTTCTCCAAGATAGATTTGAAGTCCGAATATCATCAGATAGAGGTGCATCCTGATGATCAGTATAAGACAACCTTCCGGACTAGATATGGGTACTATGAGTTTATAATGATGCCCTTTGGACTAACCAATGCGCCAACGACGTTCCAGCGCTGTATGAACGATCTGTTTAGGCCATGGTTAGATAGATTTGTTGTTGTCTATTTAGATGATATCTTAGTGTTTAGCAAGACCCTCCAGGAACATCAGGGTCATCTCAGACAGGTCTTGGAGAAGCTGAGAGAAGCTAACTTCAAGATTAACGCAAAGAAGTGCGATTGGGCGAAGACCCAAGTCTTATATCTAGGCCACGTCTTAGACGGAGACGGCGTCAAGCCAGAAGACTGTAAAATCGCAGCGATTAGAGATTGGCCCACACCGCGCACGCTGACCGAGTTGCGGTAGTTTTTGGGCTTCGCTAACTACTATAGGAAGTTCGTGAGGAACTTCTCCACTATCGCTGCGCCCCTTCGCAGACTGCTCAGGAAGGAGACCATCTGGAAGTGGGATAAGGACTGCACCTCTGCTATGAAGAAGCTGAAGCAGGCATTAATAGAATATCCAGTCCTTAAGGTAGCCGATCCGTCCTTGCCCTTTGTCGTCACTACGGATGCTAGCCAGTACGGCATAGGCGCGGTGTTGCAGCAAGACGATGGCAATGGTTATAGACCCGTAGAGTTCATATCCGCTAGGATGCCTTCAGAGAAGGTGGCGACATCTACCTATGAGAGGGAACTCTATGCTCTCAGGCAAGCATTAGAACATTGGAAGCACTACTTGCTTGGGAGGCACTTCAAAGTCTATTCTGACCACGAGACATTGCGATGGTTAAAGACGCAGGCCAAGATGACACCTAAGCTTACTAGGTGGGCCGCAGAAATAGATCAATATGACTTTGATCTCAAGCCAGTCAAAGGGAAGTATAACGTAGTTGCGGATGCCCTGAGTAGGAGAGCTTATTACTTTGGGGCCATAGTCCATTATCTAGATATAGGGTCAGACCTACAACAGAAAGTTAAAGAAGCGTACGCGCAGGACCCCATCTATAGTGAGCTCCTTAAGAGAGTTAAGGAAGCCCCAAAGTTCGAACCATATTACTGCACTACTGACAGGTTGTTGTTTGAGAAGACTAACGTAGCAGACCGCTTGTGCGTCCTCAACAGTGAAGGGATCCGGAGTTTGATCTTAGGGGAATGTCACGACACCGAAGGACACTTTGGTTGGCAGAAGACTTTAGCCAACCTGATGCACGCGTACACCTGGCCAGGAATGAAAAATGACTGCATAGAGTATGTTCGCAGTTGTAAAGTTTGGCAAAGAAATAAGTCAACTACGCGTGCCCCTTTAGGTCTTCTTAGACCTTGACCTATCCCTGATCAGCCAGGAGACTCAGTGTCCATTGACTTAATGGACACCGGCGTTAAGAGTAGGCATGGCAAGAGCCAAGTTATGGTCGTAGTAGACCGATTTAGTAAGTATGCTATTTTTGTTCCCTTGTCGTCAGAGGCCAGAACAGAATTAGCAATTCAGAAGTTCTTTGATCATTGGGTCAGTGAACACAGGGTTCTGTTGTCTATAGTTAGCGACAGAGATACCCGGTTCACAAGTCTGAACTGGCAGGAGTTGATGTGGGTCTACGGATCCAAGTTGTTGGTGTCTTCTGCCCGTCGTCCAGAGACGAACGGTCAGACTGAACAGATGAACAAGATCCTGCAGCAAGTCCTGCGCATGTACATTAGGCCTGATCAAGTCAATTGGGATGAGATGCTTCCCAAGGTAGCCAGCGCATACAACAACAGCCTGCACCTGTCAACCTGTCGCACTCCCAATGAGCTCCATAAGTCCTTTAGACCACGAAGACCATTTGAGGGACTTAACCGGGACCAGATTCACAGGCTACCGACCGGTACAAGGGAGTTTGCGATTCAGCACGAGAAAGAGATAGCAATTGTTGTTGAGAATCTCAGGAAGGCCCAGCACCGCATGATCGAACAGGCAAACAAGCACCGTCGCCCTTCACAGTTCCAAGTAGGCGACTTGGTCTGGGTCCAGTCTAAAGAGTTTGCGCCTGAAGAGAACATTTCGTAGAAGTTACTGCCTACATATAGAGGGTCGTGGCCGGTTCTAGAAGTCAAAGGCGGCGAAGATGGACCGTCCTATACCATAGAATTCCCAGCACACCTCCACACTTACCCAGTTTTCCATGCATCGAAGTTGTTACCTTGTCAAACAAGTGATCAATTTCCATCCCGTAGGTCTATGATTCCACCAGACATGGATGGAAGGTATGACATCGATGGCATAGTAGCTGAAGATGTATTCAGGACTGGAGGTAGAGGTCGTCCATAGAAACAGTACAAGGTTCATTTTAGTTATCAAGAGCCGGAAGATGACCACTGGTTTACGAGATCTGAACTTCTAGAGACAGCTCCCGATATAGTACGGGCCTACGAGAGGCAACAGAAGGGTAAAGGTCCTGCCTTGGACTGAAATTTTCTCGGAGGACCTCGAATTTTGGACGGCGGGAGTGAAACGGTATTCACCACTTCGCAGTAGCTGATGCAGATTCCAGGGCTCCATCCCTAGTTCCCCGCCTTACCTGTGTACAGTAACGGTGTCAACCCGTAGATTTGAACCTGCGACCTGTAGGCCCGCCAGTGGTAGGTAAGATTTCGTAGGTTACAGGGTAGAAGGGAGTCGAACTGTAGACCTGTCRCGTAGGAGTCTAGGCAGTCTAGAAGTCTTAGCTGTGGACTGTCTGAAGGGTCAAAGTCGTAGCTGCTACTTACCTGAAAGGGCAGAGTCGTAGCTGCTACAGTCCCGAAAGGCCAAAGTAGAGGGTTCTAGAAGTGGCCTTTCGGAGCCAGCCCCTGTTTCGGTAGAGGCAAGTGGTCAAGTGGTGTAGGTCCACCACGCTGAGTCAACAGTCCCAGTTCAGTCAGTCCGGTCTTGTCCAGCAAGTACCGTCTGGGACTGTGTGCACCAAGGGGCCAGGGTTACAGGGCAGACCAACGCATCCCAGAAGTATAAATCAAGAGGTCGCGCCCAGCCATTCATTCATTCCTGCGGAAGCCATGCGGAAGCGCTGCCTCAACTGCTTGTGCGAGGAGGTCTGCAGTGTGCCCGAAGTCGAAGTGGGCAGAGAAGCGTAGCATAGCGATAGGGTAGAGGCAGCTAGCGCTGCCATAGCTTTAGTAGTAGTGTGTGTGTGTGTTGCGTGAGTGTGCAGAGTGTCGTGTGGGGGATATCCAGGGTGATCCAGCGTGTGAACAGTGGATGTTGGGCGCTCAGTCGCCATAGCCAGTGGAAGTGAACTAACCTGGAAGCCATATCTCTGTGTACTGTGTGGGCGCATGTCACCAGTTTGTTATGTTGCTGTTCACGTGCATGAAAAGTGTGAAAGAGTCGAGTCTGATTGCAGCAAGGACTACCTACACTCACGACTGGACATGACTTTTGGCCGCCATCCTGAAGCCAATGGTCAGGCTGAAGTGATGAACCAAGTCTTGTTCCAGTTGCTGCGACCTGTCATCTCTCCAGATCAACAGGATTGGGATCTCCACTTAGCTCGTGCACAACTGGTTTACAATACCTCTATCCACTCTTCAACGGGGTTCAACCCATATCGTTTGCATTGGGGACGTGAGCCACGACAACCTCTTGATGACATCATCAATAAGGCTAAGTCTGATCTGACCCCTGGCACTGCGGAGTTTACCAGGCGCTACAGAGCCGACGTGGAAAGGGCACGGGCGAACTTGTTCAAGGCTCAAAAGGCCATGATTGAACAAGCTAATCGCCACCGACGTCCTTCCCCCATTCGTACTGGCGATTACGACTGGGTAGCCAGTTAAGAGTTGTCGAGGGAAGAGGATATCTCTCCCAAGCTGTTGCCACGATACCTGGGTCCATGGTAGGTGTTAGATACAGTGGGCTCCGATCCTTTTGGCCCGTCGTACGTTATCGATGTCCCACTGCATCTACAGACCTATCCGGTCTTCCATGCATCCAAGCTGCTTCCCTTCATTCCAGCTGATGCATTCCCAGACCGGCCCCCTCAGTTTGGTCCACCGATCCCTGGCAAGGGATATGACGTGGAGTCCATCGAGGACGAGTGGGGCACTGGCCTTGACTGGCAGTATCTTGTGAAGTTCTGTTTCCAGCCTCATACCGAGGACAGGTGGTTCGCCAGGAAAGAACTTCTCAAGACAAGCAGCTTAGAAAGGAAACCTTCCTTGCCGATCTCCTCGTCTGCACCCTTAGCTCGGAGGTCCTCGCTCCCCGGGAGGGTAAGCCTGCAATGACTTGTTGATTTTTGCTGCCGAGTTCTGTTGTATAGTCGTGTCTTAGGGTCAGATTCATAATTTTGTTTGTGTCAGGGACTAACCGCCGATCCAGTCCTGAGGGAAATTCGTGAGGGACATATTTGCAATTTACACGAAAATTGCAGGCCCGAGTTCCCCTTAGCCGTTACGACCCTTAGCAGACCCGGGTTATCATTAGGACAGCAGGCCCATCTGGGCCGTGGGCTGTAGAGACGGTCTAGACGCCGCATAGCCGGGTAGGGCCCAGGCCGAGCAGGCCAAACTGATGCGGTACCGGTCCAGTAGGTCTAGGTCTAGAGGAGGCTAGTCTATTAATGGGACTGAGGCGGTAGTTTAGGGACTTTTGGCTTCTCATTTCGAGGATGCAGCGTTGTGAGCCAAGGAAGTTGGTGGTGGTGATTGTCTACAGGCGGCATCCTGAGACCCTCGCCGCAGATGGCAGCCATAGCCAGCCTTCTGGAGGTTGCCATAGCTGGGGCATCCACAGCGCATCTACCCCTGGGGGTATCTGCGTCTGGCTGGGCTAGACCGAGGCTCTTCACTGGGTACTCGTGGGTGGACCACTGTCGCCCATCTCGCATCTGGAGATATTAGGGCTGTGTCAGTGGTGCGGCAGCCATAGCTGTCTGTTTCCTCGCCAGAGTCTTTCATCAGCGCTGAAGACTTCATCCCCGGACCTGTTCTTCATCTGGGCGGTTGGCGCTGGCCTCTGGGAGGCCTTCTCAGTGTTGCGCTACTAACTGGGTGTAGGGTAGAGAGTGGAGTGTGGAGTTCTGAGGGTGGCGAGATACTGAAACAAACTTTGTAACGATAATTGGTTCGAGTTGGCTCATCATCAGTGTAAATCCTATTGTTATCCTCGCAGGTGTCTTCTTGTGATTGGTTGTTGGGAGTATTGTCAGAGAGTGAGAAATACTGTGTGTCTCTCCCCATCTGTGCATGGTTGTGTTTCGCTGCTTACTTTGATCTGTGTGCAGTTTGGACTGTGTCTCCTCTCCCCCTCGTCTTATGCATGTATGGGCGTGTATGAGATTGTCTGTGTGTGAGTGGCGGTGAAAATCGTCAGACAACCAAGTTCATAACATAGCCCTTCCTTGGTGCCAGTCCTGTCATACAGCATTCTCCAGCCTCCAGATCCGAGAAACGATTGAACACATTCTTTTGCAGTGCCCTGGTTCAGTCCTCTTGTGGCAGATGGGACTGTATTTGCAGCAGCTGACAGACATGGACTGGTATTGGGACTGGCGAGCTATTCTTTTGGGTTCTTGTAACCCTCTTCCTTGCTCTGATTTTGTTCACAATTTATTCTCCCTTTCATGAAAAGCAGTACTATGGACGCTCTGGCACAAACGCTGCGGTCATGCTTTAGAATGGGTAAGGATAGAAAGTTTGGAAATTTCTGAAACAATCAAACAATTTGTTCAGACAGAGATTCGCCCCCAATGGGTCTAACACAAAAGTCCAAATTACCAACCTTTCAACAAAAAACTTACATTCAACAGACAATTCAAAAATTCTCAAAAGACTGGCTGGGGGGGGGCTACAGGGGTAGGGATGGGTCATGTATCATGCCCAGGGGGAGGGGGTTCTGTTGTCCCCTTCCAGCAAGATTATCATCTCATTGCCCATGAATGGATGGCGACCCAACCGGGTGCTCAGTTGAGATCCGAAGACTTTCCAGATTTGTTCCCTCCCTCAGCAATGGCGATTCTGGATATGCAACGGTTTGGCCAAACAAGCTAAGGAGGAGGGAGCAGATGATCTTTCATGGTCTTTGTTACAAGCATACTTAAAGCAGGCTATATCTGGCGGTCCTCATAGGACTGAAGAGGCAGGGCTCAGCTCACATACCAGATGACTTTCTTCAAAGACATAGAACATTCTTAATGAATCAGGGATGCTGGACCCAATTTGCAGCAGGTGCTGCTCCCCACCAATGGATTGGAGCCACAAACCAAGCTGCTAGGAGTGTATGCTCTTACCATTACTCCTAGCAAACTTGGGTTTTCTGTTTTTTTTTTTTAAGGTGGAGAAGAGGTGGTGTAGGCAGGCTTTTCAAGACAAGGTGGGTAAGACTGTGGGGTTAGGATTGCGAAAGGAAGCCATATCACCACAACTGTTTGAACTTCGCACGGGTATCGCTGATCTCTTCGTCCTTTTTCTTTTTTTTTTGCTAATCTCTTCGTCCTAACTTTATCTTCAGCAATTTAGTTCTACATACTCACACCTTCCGTTGAGCAATCATGGGTTAGGAATTGGATGGAAAAAAACAGACCCTTGTGATGAGAGGTGAAATGCAAAGCCACTGGCAGCAGTGGGGTAACTACGGCACAGTCACGTTTTCAGTTCTAAATCGGTTTCACCCATCCCTCGAATAGAACGCATCCCCACCCAACCCTAAAGCTGGGTTGGATACATTCACAATTTTCCTAACTTTGGAGCAAAATTCGCGAAAGAATGACTGAAACGCATTTAAAACTGAAAACGTTGACTGCACCCTAGTTTCCCTTTTCTTGGGGTAACTACGGCGCTTTCTTCTTTTATATGAAAACACAGTGTGTGGCCTTTTTGGGGGGGTGATATGAGCAAATCCCTCCAGTATTCCTCTCTCTGGCTGCTCCGGTCTGTTGGTGGGGAGCGTCACCTCGGAACTGATATCATGCTTTTCCGTTTTGCAGGTTCTTGATGAGGTATTGAAGGTCAAGATGCCAGTCTCCCTGCCCCTTGACCTGTCACATATTGCAGTATTGTTTGTCATAGATTCTTCTCGAGACGGGAGGTTCTCATTGGATGACATCTTCCAGTTTATCGACGTAATGCTCAACCAAGAGCGGCTTTGCAAGCCTCACGATTTTCTGGTAAGCTGTCTATTTGGGGCATGACAGCCAGAGGGAGCTTCTCCACAATGAACTGAGAGCCACCATCCCCCTTAAATCGGCTCTGGACCTAATTACAGTCAGATACATCCTGGTTTGGGTCTAATGGTGGTCAGATACATCCAAGAAAGTCATAGCGTGAGTACCCCCTCAGTACATCGGCATAGTTAAGACACTGCCAAATCACATCAGCATAGTTACCTTAGGCCAGTGTGTGATGACCCGACCAAACACGGACTGAGACACAGCTGATTTCTGAGTTTTGCTCATGGACTGAATGGCTTGCTGAGTTTCCCGCTTGCTACTGAGTTCTCTACGTCTGTGTGTGCGCACGCTTGCTGGTCTGCATGTCTGTCTGAGTGCTTGTTGGCTTGAGTGTGTGTGTGACCCGCAAGGGTACTTGTTCGTTCGTTGGGCCCTCACGGCCGGTACTTACCTGTGGTCGTGACACTGAGGGATGCAGCGGGGAAAACACTCAAGTGGCGGGTGAAGAGGCCTGCAACACTTGAAGCAGCGGGGAAACACTCAAGTAGCAGGTAGGCCGGTACCACACCCCGAAGAGGTAGATGTGCCGGGTACTCGAGGCCGAGCAGAAGAAGACAAAAGTTGGCATTTTCAGAGGCCCAGTAGTTGTAGGCTAGGTCTAGGCGGTACCAGTCCAACCAGTCTGAGTCTAGGGCCTGTACGGGCAATATCAGAGTCTGCAATGATGTTTCCCTCCGAAAGGGAGGAAGCACCGGTTGCTTGGAAGGCCGAGCGGCCTGGAAGTCACTGCCCAAGAGGCAAGCAGGCCACTATATCTCCAGGTCGGGCGAAGAGCCCAGCCTCATTGTCGGTGTGCAAGTTTGGCGACACACTGGTTGGAGCCCTGGCTGGAGCAGCGCTAAGAGCAGTGCTGCTGGGGAAGGCGCAAGGACACGGAGGAGCAAGAAGACCAGGAGGAAAGGGGAGCGCCAGAGGTACTTACCTGGCTATGGTGGCAGCCATCTTCATCACCTTGGTGGGCGCTGCAGCAGGAAGGTCCCCTTGGGGGCAGAGCTACACCAAGACGCTTCGAGGTAGAGTCAGGCATGGCGGCCTGAGCTAGAGCAGCCATAGCTGCTTTGCGTTGTCCTTTGGACATCAGGGCAAGGCCCGATAGTCTGCCATAGCCTCGGCCTATGAGAGTGAAGAGTGAGGGAGGCGGTCATGGTTATGGTGGACCTCAAGTGATACCTGCAGTAGAAGAGGGATTCATACATTGATTCTGGTTCAGCCATCCAACATTGTACCATTATTTCTTGTGTGAATAAGAGAGGAGTAAAGGAGGAGGGGAGTGTTTGGCGAAGAAGAAGAGCTTTATCATTTGTCTATGCTGGTGTACATCATCTTCTTCTTCTTTCTTTCTTCTTCTACTTCTTCTAACCCTCTCTCTCCTCTCAAGTTCATTCATTTCTTTCTGCAAGTGGACGGCATTGTACTATCTGATGAATGTGTACTTCGAAGTTGGCCAGAGTCAAACCATTGGTATCAGAGCGGATTCTACTTGCTGGTGAGAGTTGACTTATCCACCCTAACCCTAACCTAAGTGGTTAGGGCTGGGGTTGGTCCGAAGTGGGAAGTGGGGCAGCGTGGCTTAGGGAAGCTGCCCCCACCTGGTTAGGTCATGCTAGGTCCGCATTGAACCTGACCAGGTTGATTGAGAGTAAGTATGTGGTGGCGAGACACATCAAGAGGACTTCATGCGACAAGTTGAGAGAGGCGACAGTGAGAGCCTGAGAGGCACTCACACCTGGAATCTGACCTAAGGGAGACACTTGGTGACTTGAGGGCCTCCCTCAAGTAGGCGATCTTGAGGGAGGTACCCATTCTGCATCTACGGACTGCAAGTTACTACTTTGTTATTCAGCATCGGCAGGGGATCCGGCAATGCACTTTGGTGTTGGAAGTGAGACCCTCCTACATGATAGGACACTAGTGTAGATGTAGTGAATAGGGTTAGGACGACCACATGAGGAAGTGGGGTGAGTTATACTTCATCTCAGAGTTCGGGCCACTCAGGTAAGTGCTGTGCACCTAGGGTTGTCCATGTATGTGTGCATGGTATTGTTTGTCCTGCTGGGGTACTTCTGGGTCTGTTTCTTACTCCTCTGAAGTTTTGGTTGTGGGCATTGGTGTGCAAACTACTTACTAACCTGATGTTCGTAGAAATGGAGTATCTTGCTTTGAAAGCCATATCTTTCTACAGTGCTTTGTCTTTTCATCTGTGAATGGATATAGTCTGTAGGTTCTCTCTTGAAGTTGAAATTCGTTTTTCAGTACGGTAGAGGCAGAAAGTTGGACGTTGAGGTACTCTCCTTGGTTGGGACTTGGTCGCGACCTACTTAGGACCCAGTGGGACCCAGTGGGACCCAGTGGGACTGGGCCCAAACAAGAAGGGCCCCTTGGACCCAAATCTGTTGACGTAGTGTCGCTCTCTTTTTTGTCTGGGATACGGTATTCTTCTTTTTTATTAGAGCCCTCGCTGCCAAGGGGATCTCGGTTGAGATGCTTTGTTAGACTGATGACACACGATCCAATGCTTGACCTGTACCTTATACACCACTCAATTCTCCATTGCTGTATGATGTCACTTGTAGTCTGGTTTGTTGTACTCTGACGGTGCCAGTTGGATTAGGCTCAAGGGGATCTTGTACTTGGTCTGACCGGACTTGAACGCAGAATCAGAACTCTGTTCTGAATGTATTGTATTTCTTTGATTTTTTGGTTGCTCGCTAGTCCAAATATTTGCCACTCCGACTAGGAGTTCTACCTTCTTCTCTGTACTTTCAGTTTGTTTCTTTTTATGAAATCAACTACATGCCCGTAGAAACGCGCGGACAAGAGAGAAGAGCAAGAGAGGTCATGGCAACTAAAGGAGCTAGTGGTTTCGACATGGCACCGGCTAAACTTTCTGATATGTTGAAGGCTCGTATGGATGCAGCGGGTGAGGCTGAAAAACAGTTGTATGAGGCCCTCTATCAGAAAGAGTTGGCTGAGGAGGTAAAGGCGAAAGAGGCAAAGCGGAAAACAATCGCTGATGAACTTGAGACTATTTTCAAAACAGTTTCAAATGTATCTGATGCAGACCTTAAAAGAGATCTGGTTGTGTATGCACGTGCGCTTGTGAATTACCATTTGCTCAGTGAACTCCCGAGTGTGAAATCTCAACTACTCGAGGAAATGAGTCAGATGCGTACTCAGATGGTTGAAATGGCCCAAGAGCAACGAGATCAGTTACAACAAATGACAACCATGCATCAAGCCCAAACCTCAACTTCTCTTCCCCGTTCTACCTTTGCACCTCTCCATTATTCTCCTTCTTCTCGGTCTTCTCCGTTGAGTTTGGTGATTAATTAGTCAGGACCTACGATGGGTGCAGTTCCCACTGCCGCTACAAGCGGCAGCGCAGAAAGTTCTGCAATTGCCGCAGCCCCGGGATTGGATCCAGCAATAGCTGGACCCAGCTATGGCAGTCCATACAGGGACAGGAAGGTGGTGATGATACCGTCTAGATATGATGGCAAGGAGGACGTAGAGTCCTGCATCAGCTCCATGAGAGCCTACTTTGACGTACAGGGCACTCAAAGAGCCTGTCCTTGATCCTGGGGACGAACGTCGAGCCTGTCGTAAGGGGCTTCGTTGAAGTCCAAGCCATGCAAGCTGGGTACTCCAAGATCAACCTATCCGGGTGGCCTAAAGTCACTCCGACTACCACGCTCGAGGATATATTAGTAGCGTAATATAAAGACCCACATGTTGCAGCGACAATAAAGATACAACTTGATCAACTCAAGCGCAGTAAGTGGCAGGGCACCATGCACAAATTGCAACTGCATGTCAGCAAGCTCTTTGCAACGTCAGGATTGGAGCTGACTGCACAATCGTGTTTGGATGTAGTCAAAGGTACGGTTCCCACTCACTTAACGAATTGCCTAGGCAGGGACTTCTTCGGTTATATACTGACTGGTTTTTCTTCATGAAGGATGTAGTTAGTCAGGAGGCAGGAAACCTCCTTACCGCAACAAGCAGCAAAAATATTTTTTTTCGCGGACGATTTCGTGGCAGCAATCGTCTCCGCACACAGTTCTTGGATTTGGCTCATGGCCGGAGTGAACACTTCGACATGGTAAAGACGTACGAAAACCTATTAAGACAGTTTGATTGGCCTGGTATGAAAGGATCTACTGAAAAGTTTGTGGCTGAGTGTCAAGTTTGTCAATGAATCAAACCATGTAGACAAAAGCCCATGGGGCTACTTACTCCCCTTCCCATTCCTGATGGAACCGGGAGTCCGTCTCTATCGACTTCACCGACATGGGAAAGGTAAGTAAGAACGACTATTTGCAAGTAATGGTGATTGTTGACCGCTTCTCTAAATTCCTCAATCTGATTCCTTTGCCATCTCATGCCCCAACTGAGTTGGTGATCCGTGAGTTCGAACAGAAGTACACTCTGCAGTCCGGAACCCCGAAAACTCTTGTGAGTGATCGGGACCCGCGCTTCATAAGTTCCGAATAGAAGAACTTCATGTCCCAACTCCCTGGCCTCAGACTATGCATAACATCTGGCCGACATCCCAAAGCCAATGGTTTGGTTGAGGAAATCAACCGACATCGCGCTTTAATAATTCCGGATCAAGAGACGTGGGATGAAGAGCTGTATTCCGTCAAGGGGTTGTAGAACAACTCCATTCATTCTTCCACCAGCATGATGCCAAACAGGCTGCATTATGGTTGGCAGATTCGTAATCCGCTCTCCTACCTATTCCCTGACCAGCCAGCTGGTTTAACACCCAACAGGCCTGGTTTGAGGACCGAGTACGATCGCTTGCTCAAAGTTGCCATTGCAACAATGACCAAGCGACAACACTTGATGATCCATCATGCAAACAAGAAGCGCCAACCTTCGGATATCGAAGTAGGAAGTTATGTGTGGGTCAAGATGTTTGAATTCTCAGAAGA